ATTACGAATCGTATAGAAAATGTAACTAAATCTATAAGTTATTAGTCTTCTCATTAATTACCTTATATGTACTGCGTTTCTCTATATTACACTAAAAAAACTTATTTTGTGTAATCATTCATAGATTTATCAAGATTGTAAATAGGGTAAGATTTCCGTACTTGTAATAAAATACGATAAAAATTTCAAACTTATCTTTCGTTTATAACGCATCAAATTAAAATTATTTAATATCATTAATTATTTATAAATTTATTTTTACAAAATAATCTACTGTACCTTTATAAAATTGATCTATTTCACATGTTACATTTTAGTTTATTTTATCTTCTCAGATTTTTTACTTGTTCAGTTCTCATATCAACTTCGTTGAGTAAAGATCTCGCAAAATTGTCGGCGCTAGCTTCCTTATCTAGGAAATCTGATACTAATTTGGATGATGGTTTTCCACCTCCATGTGCTAAACATTCATTTCGATATCGATCACCTGCTGCGCGATTAAAAGGATCTGCTTGAAAATAAGTTTGCCATATCCATGAGGCAATTGCTCGAGAAATTAAATAAGCGTAATATTTTGCACCATACCCAACTAAGTGAGAAAATCTTAAGTGCCATGCCTACAATAATTATTATGTTTGATATGAGTTTTTGTATAATTTAAATATAAAATGCAATACATACTGTATTTTCAACATAGGGAAGCCCGTAGTATTTTGCTTGTATTTCTTTTAAGATGTCAATAGATGATTTTTCCAACTTTCCACTATGGTAAACTTGATCCAGCATACTATAGCATACTTGATTTTGTAATTCAGAAGCACAGAATACGTTCTTAGACGCATGTAACTTCTCTAACAAAGCATTCGGTATTTGTTCTAAAGTTTGAAAATGTCGTGCGAACGTGGAAACCACCTTGAATGAAAGTATAATCATTGGATAGTCATATAGAAACCTACAGTTCAATTATTGTTGTGGTAATAACTTACTCTTGGATCATTTGCAAAATATTCCATCAATATACTTGGAACCTCTGCAAAATCTGTACAACATCTGGTACCAGTTACATGTTGATATTTTGTTCTGCCTAACATAGAATGCAATGCATGACCCATTTCATGAAATAAGTTTTCTACAGAAGCAGGACTTAATAAACATGGATTAGACCATCTAGGTGCAGATAATGACAACATTAGTACAGCCATAGGAGTCTGGAAAGAAATGTCTGTATACAAACCAAAACCCCATTAAAACAATCGGTAAATATTAAGAGTTTCTGGTACTTGGTAAGTTCCATCAGCTAATTGTCTTCCTCCTCTAATAGTGAAATGACAATCTTGATTTGGTTTACCTTGCCGCTCAAAAAAATCACAGTATATATAACCTAATACTGAGTCGCTTTCATCTATTATAGCAAGTTTTTGTATATTATTGGCCCAAACTTCACCCGACAAGACAGGCGTAGACTCTAATCGAATACCATATAATGACTGAGTCAAAATATTTATTCCATCCATACAAGCACCAAGTGAAAAATATGGAGTAAATTCAGTGTTTGACATATTCAACCAAGTCCTTTTCGCTTCTGCCGTAAAATAAGCAGTATCCCACTGCATTATTTTCTGAATAAAAGTACAGAAATTTAGACAAATAGTTAGAAAAGAATTTTGCAACATTTAAATAAATTTGTGAACACCTGCTTTGTACCAGACTCGGCATCTTTCATTTCTTGCATCTGTTGGAAATCTTGTGCAGCTTTGGGCTTTAGATTATCATTCAAAATATTAAGAAAATCGTATATTACTTCTGGTGTCTCTACTGTACTTCCCTTTACAGCTCTAAAAATTTGTCACTCAAGTATAAATAGATTATAAGGCATACTCTTCATTTATAATTTAATAACCAGTATTTTAGATCTACCTATGAGCATATGATGGAAATCCGCATAATCTAGCCAAATCATGTCTGGAGTTCAAAAGTTCTTTTAGAAGATATTCTTGACTTTTATCTGGATATAAAAATACACGGTATGCAGCTTCCCTGATCAAGTTGTTAGTAGAGTCTACATAAAGTCCTTGTACTATTATCTGATTATTTTTTATTGTAAAACTGTGAAATGAGTTTGATGAAGTACGATACTATACAAATTATGATCTTCCAAATATTTTACTGTATTACTTACTGTTCCCTTACACCAGGTGGAAGAGTACTAGCATCCACTGCACGTGGATTGCCTGCACCTGCCATAAATTTTTGACCTACCTATACCATGAAAATATAAGGTATTTAAATGGATCATTTAAAGATTAAATAAAGATATAATTTTTTAGAAATAGCATATATAAAAACCATTTACATACTTGTAATATGTAGTCATTTAACTGTACAACAGTTTCTCTTTCTGCTTCAGGTAAATGTATGCCACACTGTTCAAAATCAAAGAGAAACAGTTTAGCTACGTGCTTGTCCACAACAGATGTATCTTGGACATCTCCATTATGTACAACTTGTTTTAAGGCATTGTACAGATCTAGATGAGTATTTAACCTGATGAAATATTTAAATATTTACAGTCTCCCAATGAATTGTATTGCTAGAAGAAAGTTTTTGAGTTTCTACAAAGTCAAACTTAATATTTTTTGTTAATACAAATATATTTACTTTTCTACTATTCCACTAACAAATACACAAGCATCTTCTGCAGCTCTAACATATTGTTCTTCTGGATGTGCAATTCTAACGAACTCTGCTAAATCTGCAACCTTGCACAGTGTATCAGACAGGTCATCAAAAATTTCAACCATTTTACGTTTTCTGTTTGGACTTGTAGCTTCTGCTATCAGCGTGTCTGTTTGAGACATAGCTTGATGTTTTAAAATGCTAAATCCTTGGGCCGTCTTCAATTCAGGTATACCAAATAGACCCTACAATAATTAGATATCTTGAATAGTTAACTCAATTAACATTCACTTTAATGTAAAAATAGGAAACTTACAGACTTCTTTTTGGATAACTCAAAACCATATTTATCTTTGGCAATGGAATTAAATGCTGTTGCAAGAGGAGACCATGTATTAACACCTCTACAATTAACATGTTTTATAAACTGTTTCTTCCACATGTTCATCATTTTTTATACAACATTAAATCGATTTTATTAACAAAACAACAATAGTTATTCTGAAAAAGATAGAGTAGTTTACAGTGTTTGAATAATTGCACATTTCGTCCAACGATTTACTAATAACAACAAGCATAAAATTAAGTTATAAACTATCTGTTTTAATCACTTCAGTGATCGCTGATTCAAATACTATTTTAAATAATTGTACCTACAAAACGATAGAAATAAAATAGTATTTCAGAAACGCAAAGAATTTATATTATATTTTAGTAGTCCGAAATATTATTGTATGTACATATGTACTACATATGCAATTTCGTTCGCCTTGTATTCATACTGACATCGTTATTAGTTACTACATTATATTGTATGTCTACCTCTACATATAAACAATTTGGCTCTTGTCTCTAACTGCGATGGCAGCACTGTCACATGTAATCGTAGTAGTGAGAATAAAAGTAGAAATTACTTTGCTGTGATTGGCTGACGATTCAATGATGAGACAAGATTCATTGCGGATTGGATGCACAGTAAAATGGTGGGGAAACAAGCGCTTCCTTAGAGAGGAAGAAAACCGAGTAGGAGTGAGGTGTCACTGTATACATATCAAGATTCAGAGTTAACTTATCCGCGACAAAGACAGAACATTTTCGGAGACTGATCTGAAATGTGCTGCAGAATGGTTGAGGAAATATCTCACAAATGGAATTGGATGATGCCACTCTGCATCACATTTCAGAGCAATCTCCGAAAATGTTCCGTCTCTGTCGCGGGCAAGTTAATTCCGAGTCCTGCTGTATATTGTCAACCAATGGAGGCGCTTGGAATCTTTCTTTCCCCGTTTTAGCATTGTATTGTACACATTGAAATTATGCGACAGTACGGAGAGAATGCTGCATTATAAAAGTCGAAGTGTGATTCTATTTCTGACGGTGCGATGGCATTACTGTGATTTTAACTGCAGTCTACTGCTTCAGCAATTGTCAACCTTTTATTGAAATGGATTTAGAACAAAATTGGAAGTGTAAAATGAATAAGATCATTGAGACAATTCTGTTTCTGTAATGAAGACAAATTTGAATGTACTTACAAGATCATCTCTTCGTCTTTCTGAAGTTGAAAGTTGTCCGAGAATGAAAACCATGAGTTGTCAGTAAAAGTCGTTCGTTGTAGTGTTGAAGAGAACAGAAAAATTTCGAAGTTATACATTAAATGCCAATGGTGAGGATCTGATCTTAGAGATAAAACATCTGCATATGATTTCGGCGTAATTAGGTAGAGATAATTGTTGTTTTCGTAAAGCTTACGCGTGATAATACATTATGGAATGGAAGGGGTATCGATATCTATACAAGGATATGTCTCGTACCGTCACCCACATATTAAGTATCTGTCAACATTTTATATTGCCTGCGATGAACGACGTAATTTAAGTGCGAAGCAAAAGTTATTAAAATCCCTCCTTTTTATCAAGGATTTTAATGAAAAGTGCAATAAAAACTTCCAGATAATTCAGTAAAATTTCTTCCTCTGTTGTATTTTGTAAATTTATATATACAACAAAGACAGGGAAGAAAGTAATTACTTTTATATCTCTTACAGTCTGATTCTGTGATTAGTGGTAATTTATTCGCTGCTGCTAAACAGTTAGCGGATAGTGAAATTCAGCTCCTAAAAGTTATACAAAATTCCAAAAAAGCAAACAATAAAAATAATACCAGTACAATGTCATCTGGGAAAAGTGCCAAAAAGTCAGGGGAAACATCTAATGTAAGTATAAATTCTAACGTTCATGACTAAAAACAAAATAATTAATGTGTGATATTACAATAATCCCCCAAATTACAAATTACAAAACCCTCAAATACACATGAAATTCGCATAATTACAGAGCTCCTATACTACTATAGTAATAAGTGCTATATGTACTGCCCACAAGAAATACACAGATTTTTATGTATTCTTGTATTATCAAAACAAATGCATAATATAATATATTTATTACATTTAATATCTACATACGAAAGTTTATAATTAATTGTAAAGCAGGTTTGATTTTGTTAAAAACCAATAATGTTTGGTTTGCTTCGAGGTCTTTCTACACCTGCTTTTTATATGCAATGGCAATTATTGTGGAATTAGTTTACACAAACGAATTCACGTTTATTCTTGCTGACCTCTCCTATTTACCATGATAAAAGAAATTGTAAAAATACGTTAAATTGATACCAAAAATGTAAAAACAATAAAAGTTGTAAAAAATGATCGAGTAAAATCAAAACCAAGTTATTCGAGAGAATATCGTACTTATATTAATAATTTCTGTCTTAAATAGGTTTGCCCATCTATAGCATTGATAGCAGCCAAAAAACAGGCAGTGCAAAGGCAAATGTTGCAGGGAAAGAAGTCCAATAATAACAATAATAATATTTTTGTACGTGATATATATCAAAAAGCTATAGATGCTTATACTGTAAAGAGAAAGGAAACTGGACTAGTATTTGATCGGTCTATGGTAGAACACAAGTGTCTTTGGGATCCAAATTATCCAGAATGTCCTGGTAGAATGATAACCATTTTACAAAGATGTGAAGAATTAGGTTTAATAAATAGGTGCAAGCTCATCACACCACGGGAAGCTACAGAAAATGAAATACTTACAAAACATAATAAAAAAAGTCTTGATATTTTAAAGACCACTGATGGATGTAAAGATGTACATAATTTAGAGTTATTATCATCCAAATACGATGCAATTTATGTACATCCTGTATGTAACTATTTCTAGAATGTGAAATAAGTTATCTTGGCATATCAATTTTAATACTAAACTGTTTAACATTTTCTAGTCTACCTACAAATTATCTCTATTAGCTGTGGGGTCAACAATAAACTTAATAGAAAGCATTTGCAAAGGAGAAGTTCAAAATGGAATGGCTATTATTAGGTAACTGAATTTTGTTATTCATGTTTAAATACAAAATTAATTACTACTCTTTTTAGACCACCTGGACATCATGCAATGAAGTCAGAATATTGTGGATATTGCTTCTTTAACAATGTCGCAATTGCTGCTGAGAAAGCTTTGAATAATAATTGGGCCAACAAAATTTTAATTGTAGATTGGGATGTACACCATGGACAAGCAACTCAACAAATGTTTTATAACGATCCACGGTATGCTATTACTTTTATAAGTAGGGTAAATTGTCCATTTGAGTTCTTTCTTCTTCACACCTAAATTTCTTAACAGAGTTGTTTACTTCTCCATTCATCGTTACGAACATGGTGAATTTTGGCCGAATCTCAGAGAATCTGATTTTCACTTTGTTGGAGATGATTTAGGCCAAGGATATAATTTTAACGTACCACTTAATAAAGTTGGTATGACTAATGCCGATTACCTGGACATATTTCAACAAGTCTTGTTACCAATGGCTTATGAGGTAAGTAGTATACTTCACAGTGACACACTTTGTTTTAGATGAGTACTAAACTCACTTTACTAAGTTAGAGATTTTCCTCTAAGTTGTATATAAAATATATAAATTTAATCGTTGTAGTTTCAACCAGATCTCGTAATAATCTCAGCTGGTTATGATGCAGCCTTGGGCTGTCCAGAGGTAAATGAATATAAGTTATTAATTTATTTTTCTATCCTAGTTTAATCCAGATTTTGTCATTGTTTCGGCTGGGTTTGATTCGGCGATTGGAGATGAAAAGGTTAACGATTTTTTTTCACTCTTATGTATTTTCTAGATCAATTTTTACTTATATGTTTTCAATAGATTATATGTACTTGATATTTCAATTTATTTATTATTATATTAAGGGTGAGATGTTGGTGACTCCTGCATTTTATGCTCATTTAACATCATCTCTAATGAGTCTAGCTTCTGGAAAAGTTGCTGTTGTATTAGAGGTATAAAAGATATTTCAAATATTGTATGTTTATAGTGATTTAAATATTCTGTTGTACATATTATTTTTTATAGGGTGGTTACTATTTAAAGTCACTAGCTGAAAGTGCAGCACTAACTTTGCGTGCTTTATTAGGTGATCCATGTCCTACAATAGAAAATCTTGAATTGCCTTCATTAAGGTAAAACTTTAATATTTATTTATACAATAAGAATCAATAAATTTATTTTTATGTATTTCGTATTATTTCAGCATACGTGATTCAATTTTAAATACAATTTATGCACACAAACCATATTGGAAATGTTATCAATATCAAGATACATACAGTATTAATAATACAACAAATAATAAGGAACAAAATATCAATCAGTATTTACCTGTAGTTACATTCAAGTAAAAAATTTAAACATTGTTAATAATAATTAATTTTATTATTATATTCAATTACGTACAATGTTTCCATTGTAGAGGAACTGAAGAGAGACCAGACATGTATAAAACTTCTGACTGTTATCCAGTTCATAGTAAAGAAGTTCTCGAGCTGCTTGATTCAAAATTAAATACTCTTATACATTGTAAGCATCTATATGTTGATAATTATGATCTATAGCCCATATATTAATCTCTTAAAGCTACGTTCTGTTTTTTGAAAGAAGATAAGTGAAGTCATAATTACCGTTAATTTCCACTCCTATGTTGCAAGTCTGAAACAATAGGAGTGCTGGACACCTATTATGACTTCAGTTGCCACCTTTCGAAAATAAGTAATAATTGTTCTTCTCTAGTTACTAATTTATATAAAGCTCCGGACAAAGTGAACATTGTGTATGATGAAAGAATGCTAAAGCATTATGATATAAGCGATGAAACCCATCCAGAAAAACCAAGTCGTATTAGTGGTATCTATAAACGATTACAAGAGTACAATATTCTTGACCGATGCTACGTGCAACAGGTACGTTAATACATTTAAAATAGCATATTCACTACTAAAGTTTTATTTGAAGTATTAATAATAATTTTTTAAAAGGGACGAAGTGCAACGATAGAAGAATTATTATTGGTTCATTCAAAAGATCATATAGAGAGAATAAAGGGAACTGCAAACATGAAAGCCAAAGATTTAAAGAAAGTAGTATCATCATTCAATTCAGTTTATTTGCATCCTGAAACTTGGACAAGTGCCAGCGTATCTACTGGATCGTTATTACAAGTCGTTAGTAATGTGTTAAATGGGGAGAGTCAGTCTGGTGTTGCTATTGTAAGGCCACCGGGACATCATGCAGAAGATGACATGCCATGTGGTTTCTGCATTTTTAATAATATTGCTGTAGCAGCTAAATATGCCATAGAATGTCATCATTTAAAAAGGTACAATTAATTAAGATATAATTATATTGATATGCTTTCAATTTGTCTTTGCCACAAAGTAATTTTTACGTTATAATTTTTAGAGTACTAATAGTGGACTGGGATGTGCATCATGGCAATGGAACTCAATCTATTTTTGAGGAAGATCCAAGAGTTCTCTACATATCTGTTCATCGATATGATAATGGTAGTTTTTTTCCAAATTCGAAAAATGCTAACTACACCAGTGTTGGCTGTGGAGATGGAGAGGGATTTAATGTCAATATACCATGGAATAAAGTTAGTATCTGCAAATTTATATAAGATAATCTAATTTATTATTAGATATATTAATTTGTATGAATAATATATATAGAAAGGAATGGGTGACGCTGAATACATAGCAGCATTTCAACAAGTGGTAATGCCAATCGCGTATCAGTTTAATCCAGAACTAGTTTTAGTATCTGCAGGTTTTGATGCTTGTATTGGTGACCCTCTTGGAGGTACACAAAATGATTTATAAATATTGACTTAAATTCTGTTTGCTACTACTACTATATACAAAATATTTATTCATATACTTTTTGTATCCAGGGTGCCTAGTAAGTCCAGAAATGTATGGTCATTTAACACACTGGCTATCATCATTAGCTAATGGCCGCATAATTCTTAGTCTTGAAGGAGGTTACAATATCAATTCAATTTCACATGCAATGGCACTTTGTACTAAAACGTTACTCGGGGATCCTCTACCGATGCTAGAAAGTGATCTGATCCCGTGTTCTAGTGCTGTTAATTCTATAAACAATGTTTTAAAAACGCAGAAACAATATTGGTCGAATTTGATATTTAATGTTTCTCTGCCAAGAAAAAACGTGCTACCTAAAGCTAAACTGAAACACATAAAATCAAATGAACAAATGAAAACTATGGATGAGCCTTGTAAACAGTCTGAATCTAAGATAGCATTGGAGAAAATAGAAAGTGAAAAGTTGGCACTGAGACTTTCAATTGATAAAAATTCTGTGACAGATGAGGAGATATTAAAATTACAAAACGAAGTTGAGAACATCAAAATAAAAAATTCATCTCACGACGATATGCTAAAAGCTACTGAAAAAGCACACAATAAATCGATTAATATGCAGACTATTAATACTTGTGAAGATAAAGGTAAATAGCAAATTAGAAACATTGTTATAGAAGAAGTAATAACACCTATATTTTACAGTTCTTGAATGTGAAAGGCAGTGCGTAAATCATTCTAAGAAAGGAACATTTTCTGACAAAAATTGTGACAACTCTAATCCAGGTAGCAGTAGCGAACATAATGAAGGCGCTGTTGGTCAAGCTGGTGGTGTCACAAATTTATGCGACTATTTATCTCAGAATTTGGAAGTAAGTAACGTAATTTTTTGTCTAAAGTGATAATAATATGCATTAATTACGTTATTACATTGAAAAATTTAAATATATGTATGCTTTTCTAATTTTTGTAGGCATTAATGGCTGGTGATATGTTTGCTGTAGTTCCTTTAAAGGACTGCCCCCACTTGGATAGTGTCAAAGATGTACCAGCTTCAGGAATCGATATACATTTACCTTGTGCAGAATGTGGTAGCATTGCTGAAAATTGGATTTGCTTGCTATGTTACACTATACATTGTGCACGTACTGTTAATCAGCATGGTCTTTTACATAGTGATGGATTAGACCATCCATTGGCATTAAGTTTTAGTGATTTGTCAGTATGGTGTTACAGGTGTGAAGCATATATAGATAATCCAGTAAGTTATAATTTTAATACATATGCAAGTATTTATTAGGTAAAAAAATTTAATATCTTATGGATTATTATAATTTTTCAATTATTTTGTAGCGATTATTTGCTGCTCGTAATGCTGTACATCAAAGTAAATTTAATGAGGAACTACCGTGGACATATAATGAGAACTGAAGTGCAAACATGCATTTGACAAAGTTGTCACTAGTACTATATATAAATTTTCTAATATTTATAAATATTACAAAATAGAAATATTTACAGTTTCTCTATTTGTTATTTACTTATTTTATGTTTCATTCTTGTTAAGTTCC